ATGATTCTATGATTCTAAGTGTATTAACAGCACACTCTCCAATTCAATGTATATAACAGACAAGTAACTACTATGACTACTACTACTGCAATGCCTTACATAAAATAGATCACATGACAAACCAGTCCTAATATAACACTGGTTCATTACATTTATCGTTCTCATGTAATCAGGCCTTTCCAGCTCTTCCGAAGCTCATGAATACTTAGGTCTGGAAGTCCATTCCTAACACCCCAAGATTTTGAAAAAGAGAGACTGCAACCACTTTTCACCCAAGTATTAACACCAGGCTGAATCTACTGCTGCTGTGTAGAAACTGAGTAATCATGCGCTGTGCAGGTGGAGTGTGGGAGGTGAAATCCAGTCAATGAATGAGGTTGGTGGGCAAGACACATGAACCCATACCCACAGAGCAGCTGTTACTGCTGTTCTGTCAATTGCTCAAACATCTGAAGCTTTCTTCAAAGGTGAGCTGATTCAGCTCCACAAAGGTTTAAAGACATTTTTACTGACATTTTTTGCTAATTATTTGCTGAATCACATCACTTTCCTATTAAATAAGGTTACCAACTCAGTTGACTTCATGAGGTCTGCCACCTGCTCCTTCAAATCCATGGCTAAACTTGTGCTGACTTCAATCATCCCAGAACAAGCAGACCTTTAAATCCGAGGCTCTCCTCCAAACAAAACTGGACTAAAATCATCAGGTGTTTTGTTTAGAAAGGCTCCTGTATGAACTCCCAATTGCTGAAAACAGCCCTGGGACCCATACAGATTTGTATTGGCACTGACAACCATCTAATGTCTGTACTGAAATGTACTTTCCTAAAAGACCTAAACACCTCTGAGGATCTGAGCTATTTATCACCCTCTTCCTGGTTATTATCAGGAAATGTGAATATACATGTGTATTTTAACTTCTACATGAAACTAATTGTTCTAATGCTTGTTATTTGTTGGCATCCGACCAATAGCAACATATTAACTTTCAATTCTAAGTTTTGGTTGTACTCCCAAGTATGAATATTTGAATTTCAGAAGATGAAGACATTAAAAAGGTTGTAATCAATGCCCTAGAACTGACAACCCAAATGACAACAGGAGAGTGGAAAAGCTAGTAACAAATATCAAAATTACTAGTAAAAGCAAACAAATCATAGAATCATAGAATAGTTGGGGTTGGAAAGGACCTTAAGATCATCTAGTTCCAACCCCCATGCCATGGACAGGGACACCTCCCACTAAACCATGTCACCCAAGGCTTCATCCAACCTGGCCTTGAACACCGCCAGGGACTGGAGCATTCACAACTTCCCTGGGCAACCCATTTCATAATCCCTTCTGTTCTGCTTTCAACAATTCAAGTAAATGACCATGCAAGACATACAACCTTTTGGCTGGGTACCCGTATCACACAAAAAAATCAGAACAAACAATGAACAAATCAACCTTGAACAACTCCTGTATATGGAGCACATCAGATTCTCTACCAAATTTGTTCAATAGCGCTAAAAAGGGGGTTTAAGGAAGATCTACGAATACTGTGAGGACTCCTGAGAAAGCTACGCTTTAGAAATGTTCCAACTTCTTAAACATTAGCACATTAACACTGTGGAACTGTTACAAATACTGATGGCTTACTTGGGAAGAAGGGATTGTATGTGTTGCTCACCACGACTGATGATGTTGGTCAGCCTATGGTTCCAGTGTGGGAACCATCTTTTTCCTTTCCACAAAGGATTTCAGTCCACTGTTCCTCTAACACATTTTATTTTAGTGTTTTTATTAAGTACTATACTAAAGAATACTCAACAGTTCATTCCTCGCTGTTGATAAAATGGAGCCCCTGAAGTCCCCTGATGTAGCCCCTAACTTTGCTTATTACTGAGGTGCATGCATACCCAGGAAGTCACAGAAACAACAGACAAACAAACCACTCAACCATGATGAGGCAACCAACCACAGATGAGCATATTAGGTTGGGCTGATTATGGAACGCTGAATGAAGCTGGCAGCTGGAAGAGGATGACATTTCAGGATTGGTCAGCTCAGATACACGTAACAACCTTTTACACGCTGTGTCACAGATGTGCTCTTTTAATACTGGTTTGACTTTGTAAATACATCCTTCATGGCAATACACAACTACTACTATTTATTATTTTATAAACACCACAAGATACACATCTTTTAAACACTTTATACAAGCTGTAATGCCTACCTTATACTGGAAAAATGAGATGGAGCTGCTTACAAAGAATTTTTTGAGCTATCACAGTTCAGCAGCTGGGCAGTACAGGCAGGTGACCTCCTACACAGCAGAGGGACTTGACGGAGCTGAACCTCGCTGGGATGCTGAAAGGGCTCTCACTAATCTGACTAGTACATCAAATGTAATCTAATAAATGACTGTGCAAGTGCTTGTGGGCCACAGATTCTCTCTGGGTTCTTTCCTTTGCATTTAAAATATTTATATTTTAACCTAACAGGATATATAGGAAATGGGATTAAAAGCTCTTTTATCAACTATTTGTTTGTTTCACAAATATTATAAATTGCACTGTATTTACCGTTGAATTTATCTTGTATTCTAAGTATTTCTGTTTTTGTTCAAATCCTGCATACATTGTCGGCAATATTAGCTCAAGGCTAAAAATCTTTACCCTATTTCTCTTGTATCACAGTATCACAGTATCACAGTAGGTTAGAGATTGGAAGGGACCTCAAAAGATCATCTAGTCCAATCCCCCTGCCGGAGCAGGAACACCTAGATAAGGCTACACAGGAACGTGTCCAGGCGGGTCTTGAATGTCTCCAAAGAAGGAGATTCCACAACCTCCCTGGGCAGCCTGTTCCAGTGTTCTGTCACCCTCACTGAGAAGACGTTTCTTCTCAGGTTTAAGTGGAACCTCTTGTGCTCCAATTTGTATCCATTACCCCTTGTCCTTTCAATGTTTGCCACTGAGAAGAGCCTGGCTCCATCCTTGTGACACTCCCCCTTTATATATTTATATACACTAATAAGGTCACCCCTCAATCTCCTCTTCTCCAAACTATAGAGACCCAGCTCCCTCAGTCTTTCCTCATAAGGGAGATGCTCCACTCCCTTAATCATCTTAGTTGCCCTGCGCTGGACTCTCTCCAGCAGGTCCCTGTCCTTTTTAAACTGAGGGGCCCAGAACTGGACACAATATTCCAGATGAGGTCTCACCAGGGCAGAGTAGAGGGGAAGGAGGACCTCTCTCGACCTACTAACCACCCCCCTTCTAATACACCCCAGGATGCCATTGGCCTTCTTGGCCACAAGGGCACAGTGTCGGCTCATGGTCACCCTGTCGTCCACCAGGACCCCCAGGTCCCTCTCCCCTACACTGCTCTCTAACAGGTCGTTCCCCAGCCTATACTGGAACCTGGGGTTGTTCCTGCCCAGATGCAGGACTCTACACTTTCCCTTGTTATATTTCATCAAGTTATTCCCCGCCCAGCTCTCCAGCCTGTCCAGGTCCCTCTGGATGGCAGCACAGCCTTCTGGCGTGTCGGCCACCCCTCCCAGCTTAGTGTCATCAGCAAACTTGCTGATAGTACACTCAATTCCCTCATCTAAATCGTTAATGAATATATTAAATAATACTGGTCCCAGTACCGACCCCTGAGGCACTCCACTAGATACAGGCCTCCAACTAGACTCCGCCCCATAGACTACAACTCTCTGGCTTCTCTCCTTCAGCCAGTTCACAGTCCACCTCACTACCCGATCATCCAGACCACACTTCCTCAATTTAGCCACAAGGATGCTGTGGGAGACCGTGTCAAACGCTTTGCTGAAGTCGAGGTAGACCACATCATGTATACTCCTTTTTTCATACTCTGTGATGTCTGTCACATTAGTGGAAATCTGGATACAGCAAATACTGCTGCTTCAGAGGTACTGATATAACTGAACCAGAATGTAAACTGAAGTTCTTATTTATACCAAGGCTTTATATATTTTTAATGTTCATGGTCTAATTCATAAACAAGCCTTAGAGTGTTGTTTTCCTTTCCTTTATGAAGATACAGGAATGGCACATTTGATGGAGGATTAAAAGAGAACTCCACGATGAATTATTCAGGACAGCAAACAATATTCTTTCCTAAAGAAAATGATAGCTCTTAGAAATACAGGGCAGTATGTATAGAGCTGTGTAAATACAGGAAAGCAAGAAAATAAGAATGAAATAACTGGATTTGAAACAAAAAGAACATTTCTGAGACTTAAACCACTGGCCTACATTTATTCAAGTGAAACATTAATTCAGAAATGTATGGTGAAGTGCTGACCCTGTTAGTCAGTGACAAGACACTTGCTGATTTGAGGGGAACCAGCACTTCACCCCATCGGTGTGAAATATTTATAGTTCCTTCTAATCAATTATAGGCATTAAGTTTAAATTATTTGCTCCTCCTTCCCTTTTGGGGAAACAAGAGAAAAAAAAAAGGAAGGCAGGAAGATAATCTGGCTACTTGGACTAGATGGTCACTGTAGGTCCCTTCCAACTGAAATGGTCATGTATTCTATTCTAGTCTCATCTAGGCTACTCTAGTCTAGTCTAGGCTATGTTATAATTGCGTTATATTGTATTAGTCTCGCCTAGCCTAGCCTACTCCAGTATTTGTCTTGACTAAAACCCTTTTTGTCTTTATACTTACAAAGCTCTAAAAGAACAAACCCTTCCTTACTCAATAGAGGAAATCCTTCTGCCACATCTGTATGGGAAACACATGTATTGAGAAGGACAGATTTTAGAAAAGGGGGCTGGTCTCAAAAAAGGTCTGAGAATACTGTGAAATAAAAAAATGTCACTTCATTTGACATGGAGAATATGAAAGGTAAATGACTGTGCCAGGCTCTGTGCTGTTGTGCCTGATCAGCTCTTTGTACCAAATCTCGGTAGTCATCACTCGTAAAATAATAATTTAGGCTGACAAAACTGCATATTAATATAAGTAATGTACTATACCTAGGGATCCTTGCCAGCAGTCTCATTTTGCAGGTGGATACCAAACCGAGATATCCTCACTCTTCAAGTCCTCAGGTGAAGGAGTTGAAGAAGCAGATGAAATTTCATGCCACCGTCGCCCCTGGCATTCCAGTTCTGTGTTGGAAAAGCATATTATCACCTCAGTATCTTTCAAGAACTGAGTAAAAGATTTCAAAGACTCACATTTAAAACTCTCGGTCTTTCCCCCTCTATTCTGTATTAGGGTAGTAAGTGCATTTACAGAAGGTATCATCAGTCAATAGCTAAATGGCTCCTTACAGGACAAGCCCAAGCATGGTGAATATGGCAAGGTACAGGTCTTTATTTTCCACCTGAGTGAACTGACCTAAAAAGGACTGAGTGCTTATCTTGCTTTCTTCTCACCCATCCAATGCAAAGGAGCTTGGAGATAAACAAAACCAGGTAGATACAGAACTGGTAGAAGGGGGTAGTAAATGTCACCCAGTAGCTAACTGTTGTGAAAGAACATGAATTCTGCCTCTAAGGGGGGTTTCTCTGACTTACTTGGCCTGCAAGGACTGCCACTGGGGTTAAGTTATGAACCACTGTCTGGATAAGACACAGTCTAGCTAAGTGCTTGGAACAACACTAAGTATATAACTGTCACAACACACACTGGTTATCTGCCGACACTGCTATTTAATTATAGCCTACAAAGTGTTCTCTCAGAAAAAAATTATGGCACCAAGTTATCTATCTATGTGATTCTAACACAATTTTTTCACAATTTGGTATTTTCCTTAAAGCACCATTTCCTAGAATCAAGTGATTGTGTAACTATTTCAAACAAAAATTAAGATACAAGCCCCGTGGGCTGTATAGTAAACTGAATTCATTACTCTATTACCCCCCAATTATCTCAGAAATAGCAACAGAAAGAATCTCAACTATCCACAACTTCTTTTTTTTTTTTGTTGTATTTTCTGTGCATCTGGATTTTTCAGTACTTCTACTGCACCAGCTATCTAGGCTACAAGCACATTGATCTCAGGCAATCACTAGTAAGTCATGAGAGGAAAAAGTTTAGAGCTGTCTCTATACTTCCTACCCTACTGGGGCTGAAAAAATATCTGCAATCTGGATTTATTGGGAAAAAAGTAAGCCATGGCAGAACATCCTCAGTGATAAGCAGAAATTACTCTTACTGAACACTATGAGAGGGATTTTAACCGCTAGAATAGCACATGAAGAGGGCTGATGCATTTTACTAATGATGTAGATACAGTAAGTCTTGACAAGCTCTGGTCATGACATTGATGTCATCATACACACGGTGATGAAAGAAACAATAGCAGCAGACAACAAGGAAAAGAATGTCATCTAGTAAGAATAAACTGCAGGCACAAGGAAACACAGGTTAAGGCACCAGGCTTTCATGCGTGACCCATTCTGAAAGAGACTGGAGCTCCTAAGGATGCTAGGACATTTTGAATGAGTCAAAGAAGCTGTGGCTTGACGACCACAAAACGTTTTTAGGTGGTTTTGACTTTTGGCAGTATTTGGGTACACTTGTATTTTCCTCAGACACAGTTGGATTACAAAGCACTGACAAAGACAAGGTCAAGGGCACTGACATTTAACCAGATGCAATTATCCCACTAAGATGCTTCACAGCTCACATTTGGGGATAGAACGGTGGCCCAGCATCATAGTAAAGCTGTCCTGAAACTCTGTCAAAGCTGAACTGCATATTCATCTACTAAGCTGGAAATAATATCTCACTCTGTTTAGTTGTACCCATGTGTAACTCAAGGACACTGCCAGTCTCTTAAATGATCCTCTGCAGCCTAGATTAAAAGAAAGATGAAAACAGAACTAAGAAGCTAACAATTCTAAAACAGGAAAACTAACATTGACCAATGAGTAAGACTTCATCATTCCTTTTGACTTCTGCTTCCATCAGTTGCATATATAGCAAAAGAGTAGTTCAGAGTGACATAACACTACACTTACATGCTTGAAAATTTTGCTTTCCTTCCTCCCTCGCTTAAATCATTCTCAAACTTCCTTGCAAATTTCTGCTTATAATCAAATGAAAATGTGAAACTTCACTTGAGATCCATATCAAACCCCAGTACTGTATAAAACAGGATTTTTAGCAAAAATACAACACAACCTTGTATCTCCTGATTATAAATTGGGCAATGTAAATCCTTATCAGAACTGAGGCCCAAGCCTACAATATTCACTGAGTAGCTTTCCCAAAAGAACAGCTGCACAGAACCGAATTAAACAGCAAAACTACTACCAGTAAAAGCCGTCACAATGTTTAGTACTTGTAAGATCAGGACATTTTCCTCTTGGATTCAGCAAAGCCCTTAAATATATACTGAATTATAAACAAGTGAGTAATTCCATCCTGATGCGACAAGCTGCTTAAATACAACTGGAATGCCTAAGTACTCTGCTACATGGGGATGCCATTACTCACATACTTAATGATAAGCACACGCTTATTATTTAACTTTTTATGTTGCCATGCCTAAAGAGAAGCATACAATTAATGTACAGTTATGAAATGAGAATCCACCCCCCTGAGCTTACTGCATAAGAGAGAATATAGAGAAGAGATAAAAAAGCAGTAGAGTGACAACTGTGAAACTAAATTTAATTTAGATCTGCCTTATTTTACAGGTGATCCGATTGAATGATGTCAGATTCAGCCTTATTTCACACTAGTCTGAAAGAGGAGAAATAGACTTCTTTGGCAGAATCTTCCATTTTTTTCCTGCATGTTTTGACACTTGAACTGGACAAGATACCCACAAAGTGCTCTTCATAGACCCATTTAGTTAATTAGCTATATGCCATTTTTCAAATTCTGTAGACTAAACAGTAGAGTTGGTAAGCAAAAGGCATCTTGAGATGTCCTGAATGCACTCCAATGTTATTGAAGCAGATCTAGCAAGTCACGTTACCAAGATATTGACATGATATTCCAATTTATTTTCATATCAGTAAGTGCCTGTGCAATTTAAATTAATCTTATGATTTTCTGCATTGCCCCAGCAAAAACAGACTTCATAAAATAAGGGAAATGAGTAACAGTGTTTGTGGTTTTCTTCAAAACCTATACATGATATACATGCATCTATGAATCATTCAGATGCAACTTATATCAAGAGGAAAATTTTATAATCATATATGTTGAAAATCCATTCTCAACAAAAACTGGGAAGGTAAGCATTAACATTTTCCAGAGTTCTCCTTGGTGAAAAAACATGTATGCAAATAAAAGATGCACCAGAGTATTTTCTTCTAAGTAGATTACAATGCTGTCATTCTATAGAGATTTTGATAGACTATCTCTACAGCCTTTGACATGTACTTTGGGATCCCTGAACAACTTTAGAAATAAATTCTTCTATAAAATGGAATAAAACATGCCAACCTGGGCACAGACTGATGGCAGCAGCAAAGTAAAAAAGTAAAGCAACAAAAAATTATAAAGTTATATTAAATGCCATAGACTACGTTCCATGGGCTACTACATTTTAATTGGCTGACTTCCCAAAAGAGGGCTATTACTGCACTTCTTGCATAAGAATATCTCCTCATAATTTCAGGAGGACTATAGCATAAATTGGAATTGTAAGGGTTTTTTGAATGTTTGGGTCCTGAAGTTGGTAACACTGTCCTCATTAAAAGCAAGTATACAAACAAAACCTTTTAACTTTTAATGTTGCAATTACTGGTATCAATGTACTTTCTGCACATACGTCTAAGTCAATATATTAATGCATTGCCAGACTGAGGGCAAAATGCTCAGCCCAAAGTCTGATAAACCAGTCACTCTTTGCTCAGTGTTTCACTTGATACCAGTGCCAAGCATTTTCAAAACATACTTCTTATTGCTGTTCAAGCTTTCTTTTTCCTTGATGGGATGAAACAATAGCATGGCATCCAGTCAGTATTTTTGCAGACACAATATATTTCAAAGTCTAAAATTTGAACATCTGTCATTCCTGTCTTCTCTTTAGGGGGATGTTGCTTGGCCTAAGTTAATAACTACAAAGTTCTTTCTAGTGCCACCTTCTAAGATTACCTTTACCTACATAGAACCTGCAAGGTTCTCTTCTGTAATGATTTCAAGCACTGAATCTTACATCTTTACTTTCCACTGGGTTTCCTCTGTATTATAAAGTCATTTTACAATTACTGAATCTCCCTACCCTATCAATTCTTCTTGTTCCCTTTATCTTAGTCTTTGCCTTTTATGTTTGGCAACATTCTCCTGGGGAAAAGACAATTTGTTTGTTTTGTGAAGAAAGCACTAGAAGACAGGAGCAGGGATGTATTACAGGGAACTTTAGACATGTAGGGCTTCTGCCAGTTTGATAGCCTCCTAAGACTTTCCACAGACAGAATCATGGAATCATAGAATTATAGAATCATAGAATCACAGTATAATTTGGGACGGATGGGACCTTCAAAGGTCACCTCGTCCAACCCCCTGCAATAAGTCATCTTCAAGTAGACCAGCGTGCCCAGAACCACATCCAGCATGGCCTCGAATGTCTCCAGGGATTGTGCATCCATCACCTCTCTGGGCAACCTGTTCCAGTATTTTTCCACCCTCATTGTAAAGAATTTTTTCCTCATGACCAGCCTGAATCTCTCCTCTTTTAGTATAAAACCATTACCCCTCATCCTATTGCAACAGGGCCTGATAAAGGTCTCTCCCCATCTTTCTTATAGACCCCTTTTAAGAACTGAGGGGTCACCATAAAGTCTTCCCAGAGTCTTCCCCAGGTTGAACAACCCAAATCACTCAGGAAAGGGCCAATGGTTTTTCCCTCTTTTCTGCAGCATGTGAAAAGATGATGTGGAGTGCTTGACTATACACTTACAGTAAGAGCTTGTGAAACTTTTCATCAGTTAATTACAGTGCATTTTTCTCAAATTAAATTGACATTCTACAGAAATCCAATTGTATGCACCATCCTAAACTTCCAACTTAACATGCTGACACTGCACAGGTGGTGGGATTTTTTATTCTCTCTAAGCTCTATGGAATATTGCACCTTGAGTTTTAATCTAGATGTAGTAGTCTCACAGTTTCTCAGTCCTTCGGGTCTTCTTTCCAGAAAGAGTCTTCCTGGGCTTGTTTCTTGCTTTTCTTAAGTAACTTCTGTGTTCTGTGCATTTGTGCAATCACGTCTTCAATTCCATACTACCTTTTCCTCTTTTGGAAGGTTTGGCAAGACCCTCTGGTTTAAAACCTGTCCTGTTCTGTTGATTTCATCTGGCTATGTGTACCTGCCAAGGAGAAATAGTTCTCTTCATTGTGTATTGGAAGCTGTGGCAGTGAGTTTTTTGCAAGTTCCATACCCAATTACATTGTCTGCACTAGTGAGTATGGCTCCCAGGCAGACCCTTGCAGTCAGTTTTCTGTTGCTTGATCCTGTCTTTAGGTATGGGAGTTCTGTGAGCTGCTGTTACCCATGGCATTTTTGTTAAAATATGACTTTGACTTTCTTCAGCCCCAACTGCTGTACAATTAAAACAAATCCTTATGTTCCATATTTTATAATGTTGTCAAACCATGAGAAATGAAACACAAAGTCTCCTAAAATAAGCTATATATTTGATAAGGAAAAGTGCCACTGATTGTTGCACAACCACATGGTGGATGTGAAAAATATGTGGTCATTTCTATTATCACTGAAGAATTCTTTATCTATTCAAAAGCAAACTGTTCCTTCAAAGGCTGTGAAACCATGGTTTTCTCACAGGACTTTCGTGCAAAAAAACAGCTCTTTCGATGCCTGGAGATGAAGCAGATTTAAGGTGGATGATTAGATGCCTTTTGGGACCATGTGGTGAAGAGCATCACGTAATTGTGAAACATTTGTATTCCCATTCAACCATGGGCACAGATTAGTGTGAAGCCCATGGAGCCTGACAAGCAAGACTTAGGCACTAAGGTTTGCTTGCTGGGAGAAGTCCTGATTTTGTGACCACACTGAATGAAGGAAACAACCCCTCTGTGGGCCCAGCTATGCCAGTGGCTAATCTGGCACACTTTAGTCCGGCTCAGAGTAGACAATGAACTACCCTGGTGTAGATGATGCTGCCCTCAGCCTTCCCTGCCCTGCGAGGGGTCTGCTGGTCTCTACAGTGGGGCCACTCTCCATTCCCAGCATGGGGTGGGCTAGTGTGGCATGGGCTGCTCACTGCCCACTCACCGAAGCTGTGCCTCATGGGCAAGCGGGTCTACCCCGCCTGCGGCCCTGGGTGCCCCTACCCTGGGTGCCTGGCTCCTGCCCGGCTCCTGCGCCATGCTCCACCACTGCCATTTCCTCTCAGGCTCCGAGCCGCCGCACCACCACTGCCGAGACACCTCTCCCTCTCTCTCTTCATTTTCACACTCCACCCACTTTTTGCTTGCTTTCTCCATCTCTGCCACCGTCTCTCTTTCTGGACTTGTCTTTATTTGGCACTCCCGGAAGCTGTTGGGCATTTCTCTCCCTGCCTGACCGGGCAGCTGATGTGACTGACACCGACTCCAGCTGAGAAGAAGGAGGAGAAGCAGGAGAAGGAGGAGGAGGAAAAGGAGGAGGGAGAGCAGCGGCGAGGCGAGGGAGGGGGGAGCGAGTGACCGGCCACGGATTTTCATTGCAGAGAGGAGGGGAAGGAAAAAAAAAGCCTACACGGGTCATCAAAACAGGTAACTCAAGAGCAGGCAGCGGCAGGAGGGGCGGGATGCGGGGAGCGGCCCGACCCCTCTGGCCCGGGCAGGCTGGGGCGGGCCCGGCACTGCGCGGTAGGGGTCGGGGGTGCGCTGGAGCTGATGGTGAGGCGGTGGGGCCCGGCCGCAGCGACAGCGGACATCTTGGGGAGGGGGTAGTGGTGAGGGGACGCCTGCGGGCTCGGGCCGGGGCTGCAGGGCGGCGGAGCGGCTGGTCGAGCGCTATTGCCCTGGGTCCTATGTGGGTCAGGGCCCCGCGGGCGCGGCCGTGCTGAGGGCCCGGGTCCCGCTCCGCCCCTCCTCTCCCCTCCTGTCACCTGGAAAGCCTCAACCCCAACCCCTCCGGGTGATACGTGCCAAGAGCCGCGGAGAGGAATTAATCGGAGGTGGGAGAAACCCGAGCAAAATAACACAGCAGGTGAGGGATCCTTTCTAGGACTAAACCCGGACCTCTGCCGCGGAGCCTCCCCGGCTCCCGGAGGGTGCTTTGAGCTATGCCCCAGCCCCCAGCCCGCATCCCGCAGCCTAGCTTTGCGACAGGTTATTAAGAATGCCCCCCGTTTGTTTATGCAGACCTGGCTGTGTTAAGCGATGCGAACCTCGAACTCTATCAGCGTGAGGTTAAGGGAGAATTCTGAGGGAGGCAGCTGCAGGGCTGGTGAGCAGCTGGGTTCAGAGTCCTTGGTTCCTTCCGCCCTCGGAGCCTGAGGTGTGTGTGTGTGAATGTGTGTTTGTGGTGGAGGTGGCTGAGGGGCGTACTGGTTTAGCCCAGAGTGAAGAGTTAAATAGGATCCTTGGGTGGGAGACCTGGGGACCTTTTTATACAAATACGTAAGGGATTCTGCAAACATAAAGCGACATTCAGTGGGGCAAGAAGGCAGCAGACATGAAGAACTGTGAAGCTGAGATGCTGCATTTTGCAATGACTTGACATCTGAAAGGGGTATTCCCCCAGAGATACAGCCAGCACAAAGCTGAGGAGAACTTGTGACCCCACCTAAAAACGTGAACCCTGTCCTTTGCTCTGGGCATTGCTATGGATCTGTATCTTAGCATTACGGCATCAACTGGGAGGATTTTTATCAAGTAAAATACAGATTTCATAACACATAGGGGCAGTCTTAAAGACAAAGACATCTGGGGGAAGCAAGCTTTCTTCATATACATTACCTAAATGTGGTTATTTTCCAATGATGGAAAATGTTCTTTTTTTTTTTTTTCCAGAAGAACACCAGTGGAGGCCAGTCCATTAGGAAAGAGTGGGAAGGAGTCTGCTTAGGAGGGCTGGCTGGGATCAATACTGCAAATTATATTGATATATTTCTAAGCCAGGCAAAAGTGGCAGTGGTTCCTGGGCTACCTTATTTCATTGTTCTGGGAGACTGGAATCACAAAACCAGTCCTACTTCAGAAATACAACTTTACAAACTATTTAGAATAGCAAAGTGGTCAAAGCTGGTCTCATAAGACATTACTACAAGTTGGATATCCTAATTTTATGGAAATCTTATCCTAACATTTCTTTTTGATTACTTATGCAAATTATAAACTTCTTTCCTGATGCTTTACATTTTCAACACAAGGATTTCATAACACATATTCTATTATGAGCATGTTTGCACCTTCTGTAGCAAAGCCAGGTACATACAACAATATGGCCCATTTAAGGCTTGGGCATAACCAAATGCCGGTCTTCAGAATATTCTTATGATTCATTTGCATCTTCCCCCTCAAATGAATGCTGCGCAGATGTGGAAGGTGGACAGTCACAACTCCAAATTAAATGAATAAAATACGTTTTCTTAATTAAATAAAAATGAAGAGGATGTGCATTATTTACTATTATGGCAGAGCTAACCTATATATTTTCGTTATTCTTGGTCAGCTATGGCACTCACTTTAGCAGAGAATAGTGCTTCTTGATATACCACAAGGAGCAAGGATACAAAGATTACATGTATTAGACCCCTTTATACATTTTCTAATCCTATTGCATAATTTTTATTAACCATGTAAAGTATATTTGGAACCCTAAGTTAGGGAAAAAAAAATGAATGAAAATTCCTCCAGGACTGAAATTCATAGGAATCTGAATTAGTAGGTACTGGAAAAGAAGCAAAGTGCAGCAAGGAAGACTGGAAACTAGAACTGTATTCAGCTCCCAGTGTTGACACTGTTTTGCATCATTACCTGCAGCAAATCACATAATCTTTCCATGTTTCAATCTGGCCTTTCAGTGACAATAATGTTGCCAGTGGTTTGTAGTCGAGAGAGAAAAATGGTGAACTGCCAAATATGTTAAATATTCTTTGTGGTTCTGCATGAGTTTTAACATCATGTGCAACAGGAAAAAACCTAATAGCGGCAGTTGCTGCCCTGTAGAACATCTGACTACATGAAAGAGAACATTCTGTGCTTATGCTTATTGGGGCAAAACCAAAGCAACAGCTACAATAAATCAGATACAAATTATCACAGTTATTTAGACAACTGTTTTGTTATGAATTGGTTAAAAGGTTTTGCTTGATGAAGCACCCCTAATATATATAAATTTTAATTCCTTTCTCTAAATTTTAAGTATTTTACAATAGTGGGAGCAGTTGGGAACTTGTCATTTTGCTGAGGTACAGAATCAGCTCCAGTTGCTTGAGTATTTCTGAATAATGAGTAATTTTGGCAGATGTGGTTTACTGACCATTCAAATAAGTAATGCTTTGAACTGTAAGCTGTTCTTCAGAATGTCACCACTAGAACTGTACCAGAATCAACACTTTTATTAAGCAGTGCACACTGAAATGGCAAAAGCACACATAAGCACTGCTGCATAAATGACAGAGATTACGCCAATTCAGCTAGTTCAGCAAGAATATGGGTTTTGGTGCTTAATCTTGAACCTCTGTGATCTTTGTCACCATTTTAGCAAGACTTTATGCCATAGACATGGCCTTAGTGCATATACATACTAGTTACTCTTGTCTTCATTTCACCTGCGTATGTAACATATTCTGACTATGTCAAATTTCAGGGACTCCTTGTTACTAAAAAAGGCCCCATTAAGACTTATTTACTGAGTATATGCTAATGGAAATTGTGATGTGACCCACAGTTTTTCAGAGAACAGAAAGCTGAAGAAATGGCTTGGAAAATCCAAAATACCAGTAGTAGTATACTAGTAGTAGTATGATGGGAATCAAAGGCTTGATGCTTTTGTAGCATATATTTAAAAAAAGGTAAATGCTCAAGTACATAATGGAATAGTGTCATATTTTTCCAAGAAGACATGCTGAGATCTTATGCATTAATGTTATGTTTTGTATTAGTTTAAATACTCAACTGCTTTTTGGAAGGAATGCAAAGAATGATTTACATTTCTGTGTGTAATTTGGCATTGTTTTGAGAGAAGAAACAGCAGAGTAATTCACCTAACAGCTCTGGGTCCTCTAAAGCAACCATCATAGCAAAGGCTAGCTTTACAAGCATCTAGGATAGGTTGAGTTTGATCTTTCTGGGTTTCACAATACCTCACAAACAAAGGAGGGATAAAGAGCTGAATGTCTCAGATCATGTAAATGAGCAAGGTTGCATGGGTTATCATTAAAACTCAGGACTTCAAAGTAGTAACCAGGTTATAGCAGGAAATAGAAAGGTCTTTTTTAGTAGCAGGTGGCCCATTTCATCCTGAATCAGAAGCAAAGGCACATCTCATTGAAATGCTAGCAGCATTCCAGTATTGCAGAATCAGTGGGTTGAATTTTAAAATGGGTGATGTCCAAAGGCCTTGAGTTTTTGCGATGAATAAAGATTGCAAATGAGCTGCAGAGAAAAGGGAGTAATAAAGTAGCTGCTGCCATACTGGAGGAAGGGCCACAGACTGATCAGGGAAGCCAGGAAGAGCCTGACATCATCAGACACTGAGTGCATCTAGGTAACTTGTCTGAGAAACAGAGCACATCTATTCAGGCTTTATTGTCATATGGATATGCAAGAGAAGTAGGGTGTGGAAGTGTGAAAGGCCATGCAAACAAAACTGTTACTAACCTTGGTACTGAATAGTCTCATCTTTTCTGCAGAAGCCATTTCATAGTTTATGTTTTTAGAGCTTCCAGCACTATCTGCATAGTTTTAACTTTGCCCTTTGCTTTGCTTTTCTCCTTTCACATCCCAGAAGTACTGAAACCCCACAAGGGTTTGTACTTTGTGGAGTTTACTCTTTCAAAGAGTGCAAATTCAGTTTGCTTGGAACTGTAGCATAAAGAATCTTACTGTTCAGTTACTATGAACTGAACTGAAGCACTAATAAAATCAATGCCTGCATGCAGTATTTTCTTGGTTCAGCAAGGCAGTGTCCTGACATACAGTAATCAGCCTTGTGACAGGTAATTAAATGGCTTGTAAGGCCTTTAGAATGCTTGATTACATGAAGAATACCACACTAATACATAGTAAACGAGGTGGCTAAGAACATTGTGTTTCTGTTGATCGCAGAGAACATTGGAGGGAGAGAAGAGAAGAAAACCTAGACAAAAGACTATGAGCAGTGGTGACATAAAAAGGAAGCATAAGAAGAATAAGAGAATGTACTTAGAAACTGGGTTGCTTTGGTTATTTTAAGTCAATCATGCTTATACAGACTGTCAAGTCTTGACTTCTTCAGTATATCATTAAATGATGAACTTGTTCTTTGTGATCACAAAATTGATAAGACAGTC